ACCCAATCACTTTCTATTCCCTCACCCAGTTCCTTCCTCAGAGTCAAGAGTCCCCACTCAGCATCATGGACACGAATTTGAACTCTCACCGCAGATCAGCCTGCGCTGCGATCCTGGTTCTAAGGATGTGGCGTTTTCCCTAAGTGGCTCAGTTTCCTTCTTAGTGAAATGAAGATGACGAACATGTCACCCTCTTTGGGTGGTTCACATATTGCCCACTGCCCTGGAGTTGATCCCAGCTCATGACTAACCCCAACCCTAACCTTCTATAGGGTTTCCGAGACTGTAAATCGTTACAGTAGATCTTTCTCCCTTGGAGCAGCTTGTGTGTTTGAACCGCTGATCTTGTGGTTAGCAGGCCAATGCCTAACCCTCAGAACCACCAGGGTTCCTTAGGACTCCTTGTTATTGTTGTAGTTAAGCGCTATCAAGTCGGTTCCAACTCAGTGACCCAATATAGGGTTTCCAAGGAGTGGCTTGTGGGTTTGAACCACCAACCTTGTGGTTAGCAGTTCAGTGCTTGTCCTACAGCACCACACCAGGGCTCCTCGTGAGAGTCAAAAGACATCACTTCCACAAAGCACTGAACACAATGCCTTTCGGCAGGACCAACTATCATCAAACATTCAGGGCCCAGTGCAAAAGAAAAACTGTCCAAAAGTTGTAAACGAGTTCCAAGATGACAGCCAAGTGTGGGGCTCTTCTGAACACAAGCCTGCGGCGCTGACACTGGCAATCGGTTGAGACAACAAACCCTCATCACATCCCCCCCATATCCAGTCTACCCAAGCTCGAAAGCTGCACTCCCATTCCAAAACCAGGCAGCACCTTGAAGCCATCTATGTTTACAAGGACAATAACTGACCACACAAGACCACATCAGGCCAGGTGCCATGAGCGGGGCTCCAACTCACCACTATGTCCGAGTGAGTAGAACTGTCTCCACAGGGTTTGAAAGGCTGTGTTTCCACACATGGGTGGTCAGGACTTTCTTCCGAGGTGACTCTGGGTGAACTTGTACAAGCAAGTTAAACACTTGCACCACAAGGTAATATTACACTCCCACCTTAGGGCTCTTTGCCCGCTGAGCTAACATCCTCACTCCTTCAAGTCTCCACTGAGATCCGCTTCTTCTGGAAGACTGACGCTGCCTGCCCAACTCAGTGTTGTGTTTGGCTTGCCCTGCATTCCCCATTCCCTGTGTCCCTCTTAGCTATCTCCCATCTCCCCAGCATCTGCTTGTCCTCAGGCATTATCCACGGCTTACTGCAGGAGATCATTTACTTCCTTAATACGCTCTCTTAGTTCTCTAGTGCCGCTGTTAACAGCAATGACACATGCAGGAGGCTTTCAGGAACAGAGAGGCACCCTCTCCACTTGGTGCTGTTACATGCCATCGAGTTGGTTCCGACTCACAGCAACCCTGAAGTGGGTTTCCAAGGAACAGCTGGTGGGTGTTGGAGGCTTGGCGTCCACACTCAGGGAGCCAGGCCTAGAGGAAAGCTTTCTGTCCGTCAGCTCTGGGGGAAGGTCCTGGTCCCCAGATGATCTTCAGGTGACTTGGTATCTATCTTTCCCCACTGCGGTTTTATTTACTTTTGTCTGCAGCTTCCTTTATCTGCACTTTTATATCTCAAAAGAGATAGATAGACTCAAAACCCACCCTACACAAACCTTGCTTCATTAACATAACAAAGAAGCCCCCATTTCCAAGTAGAATTTCACACCAAAAAGATATATTGTTAAGTGCCATCGAGTTGGTTCTGACCCATAGCAATCCTGTGTAGGGTTTCCGAGACACGGCCAGTGAGCCTGAACCCCTGACCTTGCAGTTCAAACTGATTTTACAGTCCAGTGCGTTAACCTGCAGCGCCACACCTGGGCACAGGTATAATTGGCTGCTGTGGAGGCTATTCCAACTATCAGAATTTACATCTGAGTATTTTTCAGGGGCACAATTTAATCCATAACAGGTCTAGATCATTTACATCTTCCTTTACACACACGCGCGCGAGCATACACACACATATGTGCGTGCACTTCTACACATGAGGGTCATGTCTCTGCCCTTGTTCATCTGTCCATTCCAAGTGCTTAGAAGAGTATCTGGCACATAGGAGAGTCAATATATAGCTATGGAAAGAACAAATGAAAGACTGAATGTATGAATAATCCGACATCCTCTCAGCACGGGGGCTCAACTGGCTGTGAGGCCTCCACAGTCAGAACACCAGTGCCATCCACTGATGCTGACACCTAGCAGGTCTGCAGGACAGAGCAGAGCTGTAAAGCTTTATGGAGGTGGACTGGACTCTCACATCTTGGTCCCGCGGAATGGCTGCTCAGTTCAAGCTGTGATTTGCAGTTCCCTGCTTAACCCACTGTGCTACCAAGGCTCCTTCCACATTACCGAGGGGTAGGATGAAACACTACTTTGGGACATATTGTCAGGGGGGACCAGTCGCTGGAGAAGGATATCATGTTTGTTAAGGTGGAGGGTCAGAGAAAAAGAGAAAGACCCCCAATGAGATGCACTGGCCAAGTGGCAGCATCGGTAGACACAAGCATGGCAACAGTAGTGAGGTTGGCCCAGAATCGGGCAGTGTTTCATTCTGTTGTGCATACGGTCACTATGAGTCGGTACCGACACGATGAAACACTGGACTATAAATCAGAAGGTCGGCGGTTCAAGCCCACCTGTCATTCCACAGGAGAAAGATGAGGTCTTCTGCTCCCACAAGAGATTTAAAGCCTCAGAAACCCTACACAGAGTCCTATGAGTCAGAACCAACTTCAAAGCACTGAACACCACCAACACCCATAATGCCCAGCCCCTTAGTCCACAAGAGCCCAACAGAGCTTATAGAGGATGGGAAAGTTATAACCAGTAGCAAATGTGTCAAAGCCCCTTTAGTTTGGAATGAGGATAATGTCATTATCTGTGCCTGTCAACACTAGGGGAGGATCCAGCTTGTTGCCATGGTGACAGAATGATGGCGACATTTTATATGAGTGTCCCCAGGTGGACAGCATAAAAGCAGTTTTGTGTTTTCTTTTTTAAATAGAAGGAAAATCATTTCACTTGGTTCCTGTTCTCCCACCCACTCACTCACCCTCACTGCCCATCTGTCTCCTGCCTGCCCCTCACCACACACCTGGCTCCCGCCCCATCTCATCACATATCTGCTTCCTGCTTCACCAAACTGCACTTCTGTCCCGACTAGTGCAAACCTGGTTCCCACCCCACCTCAATTTAATGCACACCTGGTTCCCTCCCATCTCATAACACATCTAGCTCTGGCCTTTGCATGGACTACCACACCCATTCGGTCACGCACTGGGCATTTTTCAAATAACCCTATTGGCAGCCACCACGTACGCTGGGGTGGGAATCAGTAGGGAGTACCCCCCCCTTCCATCCCGTCTCCAAATATAAGGTCAGCCAGAGGCAACGGCTGGAGAAATGGTACCTGTAGGTCACTCTGCGGCAGTTTCAAATGTCCTGGCACAGGTCCCAGCGGCCCAGCTAGGAGGGGAGGCAGGAACCCTCTTTTCTCATTAGCACTCTCTCCCATTTCAAACTTCTACTCTTACAAGAAAGAAAGCAACAGAGAGATCCCACAAGGAGTCACACAACTAGCTGGCTGCCAGAAACAAAACACACTGCGGGGCGCTCTATGTGTGTGTCATTTAAATGTATTTATTCATATGTTTATTTAATGTTGGCAGCTTGCACCTTCAATAGCAAATAAATTGTGCCTGCTCGGTGACAGCTAGTATCATCACCAAAGGGGTGTCTGAGGCAGACGCTGGAACAAGGGCCGGATGAGGTATCCGGCTCTTCCATGTGCTTCTGAAATTCACAACTGCCTCACATTTTCCAGACTTCTCTCTGGCCTTGCCCGGGCAGAGGCAGAAAGCATATTTCTGGACAGAACCGCTAAAAAAGCCAAAGAAAGCTGCCTTCATCTGATGTTAAGACCTTTCGAACACACACACAGAGGGGTACTTTTTAAAATAGAAAATAAAAAGGTGAAGAAAAGTGAAGGAGAGAGAGATGAGTGAGGTGATGAGACCTGCTATTTCCTTTTGTCTAGACTTGAGAGGGAGAAAACGCAGGGAAGGCATTTGTTGTTGTTATTAAATGCCGATGACTTGATTCCAACTTATAGCAACTGAAGAGCGGCTGGTGGGTTTAAACAGTTGACTTCATGGTTCGCAGTCCACTGCTGATCCTACGGCGCCACGCTACTCTCAAAAGACCCACCACCCCTGTCCCAGGGTTGTTTATGCACGTTTCTGCATCTAAGCTACAGGTAAATTATAAAGCCCGAGGCATGTGAAAAAGTCATTCTGTGGAGGGGCACGAAGTGGTTTCTGATCTCTGGACCTTCGATGTCCTCACCAACAAGTCTTTTGTTTTGTGTTTAATTCACATCTACATTTGCATTTTTGTTACTGTGTGGTAAATATGAAATCTCATATAAGGCACCCTGGTGGTCCAGTAGTTAAAGCTCTCAGCTGCTAACGGGAAGGTTAGAGGCTAGACTCAATAGGAGAAAACTGAGGCAGTCTGCCTCACAGAGATTGATTGACAGCCCTGAAAACCCTGTGGGCGGTTTTACTGTGTCCTGAAGTGTTCCTATGAGTCTGGACAACAGGGCTGCAACGGGTGGTAAAATATAACTTTTAAGTAAAATCATCCACCCCTATCCACTTCCAAGTACTGTTGGCAATGAAATTACAGTACAGACGTGGGTAAGCCTGGAAAACAAAGTTTTCCCCAGAACGTGATTATTCTGTGTAGTCCCGAAGGGTGGGAGTGGACCTGTACCTGGGCACCTCCCACACTTGGGAAGGTCCCGCACCTGGACAGGCCCAAATCTTGGCAATCTCGCACCTGGGCACCCCTGCATCTGGGTACCTCCGCACCAGGGTGCCCCCCACACACACACACACATCTGGACACCCTCGCCCAGTCCCCAAAGACGAGCGCTCACCGTAGGGTAGAGCAGCGCGTCGCCGTCTCCGGGTTCCGACAGCTCGCTCAGCTTGCGGTCCCACTGCAAGGTACCCTGCTCCCCGCTCTCCAGCACCTCCATGCCGGCCGGCCGGGGGCGCGCGGCAGGATCGTGCGCGCGAGTGGATCGTGCGCGCGGCAGGATCGTGCGCGCGAAGCGCCGTTCGGTCCTAGGCCGGGGACCGCGGACACCTACGGGCAGTGCGGCGCGGACCGACGTCTGCGGGTCAGAGCGGGATGGGCATCCGAGCCGAGCGCACAGGACGTGTTCTCATCCCGGGCGCCGCGACCAACCCGCTCCCAACACAAACTTTGAGACGCCCAGCACCTCCTCCGCTCTGCTCCGGGACCAGCCGCCGACCCCACCTTCCCCCGGGCCAGCGACCAATCGAAGACCCGTCTCGCCCACCTGGCCCAATCGGAAGTCTCAATCTTCGTGCTATTCCACCACACAGACTCAGGGGCCGCGGGAATTCTCCGCCCCGGCTTTGGAATGTAGGCGGGGCGCACCTTTGACATCACCGGGGAACTCCTCCTTCCGGAGCGCTTCTCCGGCCGGTCCCCTGGGGCAGCGGACCAATGGCATGCTTGGATGTAGGAGTGATGGACTGGGAACACTGCCACTAAGGAAAGGGAGCCTGGAACGGACAGCCAATCGGATAGCGACAAGACTACATTTAATAAAAGAGGGCGGGCGCGCTGGGTCCTGTAACTGAAACTCCGAAGTGGGGTTTTGAGGGGAGAGCGTTGCTGTGCATCTGAGTTAGGCTCTGTCCAAAATGGTCTCAAGAGGCTCCTTTGAGTCCTACGGGATTTTTTAAAATGAATCTGTGTTGTTGTTACCGACTCCTAGCGACCCTATGGACAACAGAACGAAAGCCTGCCGGTCCTATGCCGTGTTCACAGTTGTTCTGTTTGAAGCCATTGTTGGTGTCCTTTTGTCAGCCTTCCTCGCTATATATAAATGAACCCATAGATATATCCAATATGATAGCTAATGTAATATGCACGTTCCCCATTGTCCATGAATTTAAATCGGATTTTTGGCATGAATAAATATTGTTGTGTGCGATTAAGTCTGTTCCGAATCATAGGGACCCTATATAGGGTTTCCTAAGTTTTAAAAGATGGAGCAGAAAGCCTCTTCTTTTTCCCGCTGAGCGGCTGGTGGGCTCGAAACGTCGCTCTTGTGATTCGCAGTCCAGTACTTATTCTACAGCGCCACCAGGGCTCCATATAATGTAAAGAAAATAAAAATCGTCACAATGGGATGAATAAACAATACCATGATTAAAAAACGAAAGAAAGAAAGAAAAGATTGAAGTTGTCAAAGATTTCATTTTGCTTGGATCCACAGTCAACACTCATGCGAGCAGCAGTCAGGAAATCAAAGGAGAGATTGTATTAAGCAAATCTGTTGCATATGATTCTTTAACATGTTAAGGAGTAAAGATGTCTGTTTGAAGACAAACGTGTGCCTGCCCCAAGCCATAGCATTTTCAATAGCCTCATACGCATGGGAAATAAGGAAGATCATAGAAGAATCGATGCATTTGAATTATGGTGTTGAAGAAAAAATATTTAAAGTATCCTTTTTAATATTCTTTGCGAGAAGATTGCCAGAAAAACCAACAAATTTGTTTGCTCCTTAGAATGCTTCTTAGAAGCCAGGATGCAGAGACATGCATATGTATATGGAGTCCTGGTGTGTTTGGACTGCAAGGTCAGCGGTTCAAGCTCACCAGCTACTTCTCAGAAACCCTTTGTAGGGTCACTAAGACTCAGAGCTGTCTGTATAGAGTTTTCCGTGGAGTGGCTGGTGGGTTTGAACTGCTGACCTGTGGTTCTCAGTCCAGTGCTGATCCACAGCGCCACGCCAGGAGTCCAGTAATGCAGTTGTTACTGTTGTCAAGTGCCATCGAATCAGTTCTGACCCGTAGCCACCCCATACAGGGTTTCCAAGGAGTGGCTGGTGAGGTGGAACCGCCAACCTTGTGGTTCAAACCAAGCAGTAGTTACTAAAAATCTTGAGTGCTTTAATCTTTCTCCAATTAAACGGCTTTCAAAATGGACAAGATTGATACATAAATAGATTACTTGTGTAAATCTATTCACCACAATGTGGATAATAAATCAGAATACAATTGTAAAGGTTGAAGGCCATTAAAGCCCATCTTTGAACCGAGATATAGCACAACTCTTTGTGTCATCTTCATGCAAATAGTGTGGTCTGAGCCTCTAATCAACTCCCGGTATTAGGAGGAGCCCCAGAGCTGACCCCTCCCTCACACAGACTGCTGGGAATCCCTAGGGTCCCACTGAACCAGGCCTTTAGGGTGGCAAATGCTCTCCCAACTCCAGAAAGGCACAGCCCACATCAGTCTGGCTTACATGGAGAGGAAGTCAGGGTCAGTCAGTCACTGTAGTGGGACGGACGCTGGGTCAGGACAGGAGGCAGGGATTGTGGGGTCTGGTTCCAGTCATCATCATCACTTCCATTGTGTTCAGCACAGGGAACCAAAGAGAGAAAATAAATCATCTATTCAGACAACATGAAGACAAGGCATAGAATTGTTGTTTTTAATTGCCTGGGGTTCTGACTCACAGCCACCTTGTGCAGGGTTTCTGAGGTGCAGCTGATGAGGTTAATCCAGGTGCGAGGTGGAAGGAGGAGGATTTATTCGCCTTGCCAGGCCTTGGTTTTCCTCAGAACTCCAGTTCCTCTAGCACACTGCGATCTACTCAGCCACACTGATGTGGGCTTAAAGCGATCGATACACATGTGTGGTCTGTCACGTATGATAACACATTCTCCACTGTCCGTGACTTTTGATGAGCACTGTACTAGCAAATTGTCCTCCACATTTTGTACCCTCTTCCGATCCTCATAGCTTCATGGATGTCACACTCTAGTTCTCCTCGCCTATACTCAGCAGGCTTTTGTCCTGGAGAGTTGGCTGTGTGTTTTTCCAGGTGCCGAGGACTCGAGGACTCAGCAGGGATCTGCGGTCCTTGAGTTCACAGACCTTTTACCCATTGGGAGAGTCAGACACTAAACAGATCAGGAAATTAAAGCAGACTGTGTTTTCCGGAGGGGTGTCACTGCTAGTCAGAGAAATCAAAGCAGGGGGAAGGGTGGTTTCTATTTAGAAAGACCATCAGAGATGCTCTCTCTGGAGGAAAGGAGGGCATTTGAGGCGAAGCTGGTGTTTTGCTGACTTCCAGAGAGGCGGGGAGCTATCAGAGAGGGGCTCTGAGAGACCACGCCTGAGGAGATTAAGGAACTCAATTGCCTCTGGCCCACTGCAATCCCACGTGTGTCACAGCAGAACTGGACTCCACAGGGCTTTCTTTGTTTTAACTTTTTATTGTGAATTGAGTGAAAGTTTATAGACAAGATCATCAGCTTTATATTTCAGGAGGTGGGCCTTTTCATCTTTGCCTTCCTGGAAGCCATGGTGGTCCCTGGCCTCCTTCTTGTGGTACAAATCACCTTCATGTGGTACAAACCAACAAAGCGAAGAGCAGAGCCAAGTGGAGAAAGCCCAGGTGAAGTGTGCCAGCGTACACCCCACACACACCAAGACTAATCCATGTGAGGGCCTTGAGATCAGCTTGGGTGGGCAAGAAGACTGAAGAAGGCTTTGCACAGGCCCCCTCTCCAGAAGTGAACCAGAGTCCAGGCATGTTAGAGTCTCCTCCATGTAACTGGGGCTCTCAGGACATTTTCAAGTGACTCGGGGCCAGGTCTCACCAGGATCAGCCTCTAGAAGGACACTACACAGTAACATCAAAAACTCAAGAGCTTGATAAAGAGGGAGAAAAGAGACCTCACCTTCAAAGACAAAATTATTACACAGACTGTTAGGTCTTAAACCGGAGTAAACACGAGACAAAGACAAACATAGGTCACCTGGGTGAGGACAATTATAGGTACCATAATGAGTTTCCCAAAGCTCTGTCCCCATGTGGTGACCTTGTTTAGGGTCCAGCGAACAAAGGGATCTCCACCCTCAACAATAACTGATGGCAGCAGCCACGAGTCACATGTGGAAAGCTGGAAGGGGACTGTTGTTGACAGGAAAGGGGACAGTCTGAGGCTCTTAGGGCTTCACAGAAAAACCAGGGGGTCATTAAGGGTTGTATCCAGGAAAGTGCCTTCAAAGGTTGCCTGGGAAAGCTGGCCACAAACTCACTTTTTTTATAAAAAGAAGTTTTTATTGTGAACTGAGTGATCGTTTACAAGGGAGAAGATCGGTTTTACACCATCTTGTCATTGCAATGATTACAATCTCCATGCATTGTCATTCAACAGGATTTGCTTCTATTCCCTCTGGGGGGTTTTTTGTTGTCGTTTGTTTGTTTTTGGGGGTGGTGTACACAAAAACACTCAGGAATATATACTCATTTAAACAACCAAAAGGCAAGCCTGTCTCCTGGCCGCCAGCACCCAGTCTCTTTCTCTTTCCATGTAACAAACTCACTTTTAAAAACCCTCTGTTTTTAACTCTGGCAGTTCAGCTGTCAGAGGTGCATGGGGTACTGAAGGAAAAGCTGGCATGTGCGCACTTAAAACCTAGGCACAAGGTGGGAATTAGTCCTGTCTGGCTGGAGCCGTTCACAGGCAATAAGCCTTCAGATTGTATGCCCTACAGCAGACTTCACAGCCGGCCTGGGGTCTTCTGATCTGACGAAGGAAGACCTCTAGACCAGCCCCACCACGTGAAGCCCCCTCACTGAGGGTTGCTTTCTGTAGTGATTGGTGGGAAAACCACTTTAAAGACCTGTACTGTTTGCAGGTTGGGGATATGAGAGGGTCAATGGAACTTTTTTTTTTTTTTTTTTTAACTATTACCACATTATGTGGAATAGAATCAATTCCACTATCTCCTTTTTGACGAAAAGGATAGATGCAGAGTTGAAGGATTTTAGCACAAATCTTATGAAACAGCTCTTCATTTTACTTCCCCCCCCCCCATTTTCATTTTATTGTGCGTCGAGTAAAGGTTTACAGACAAGCTCATCAGATTTACCTTCAACAAATCATATACTTTGTTTCATCTCAATGATTACATTCCCCTC